CTTGCATTTTATAAAGCAGGACTCTTGCATTTTGACAGAACATATCTTCCTATCACTTTCATTCCTAGGATTTAGTTGGTTTTGCTCACATAATCGCTGAGGAAATCACAAGCATCCTTCTTCCCTAAGCTCTTAAGTTCCTGTCAATCCCTAAACCAATCAAAGGATCCATTTAGTTGGGCTTCTAGGGAAATATACTATCACACATGCCAATATGATTATGTATTGCCAGTATTAAAACAGTCTAAGTATACCATTGGAGAGGTAACTAAAGAAAAGTTCCATACCAGGCTGCCATAAGCAGTAGGGAATGCCAGCCTTCGTTTGTGTCACTTGTCAAAGGGATTTTAATACAGGGGTCAAAACTCAGTCTTATTAGAATGTGGACCTTCTCCTCCTACAGCTACACTTGCTAGAGCAGAATTCATCCAATGACAGACAAAACAGGCTGTGACACCACAGCCTAACCTTCAGCTACTGATGTTCAGTGTCCCGAAGCAGGAACGGCATCCACTTCCTAAACCACATGCCTCCGGAAACCTTGAGAAATGTCAATAGTTGTAGAGGGGCTTCAGTCCTTTTGTTCATAGGGTCGCTATGAGTCATGCTCGACTTGATGGCAGTCAACAACAACCACCATCAAGAAAGGTTAAGAAAAGGCCTTGTCACCACAACAAGATAAAGGTAAATAATCCAGTAGACAGATGGGCACAGGATATGAACAGACACTTCACCGAAGAAGACATTCAGATGGCCAGCAAGCACATGAGGAAATGTTCAAAATCCCTAGCTCTAAAGAGATGAAAATCAAAACGACTATGAGATATCATCCCACCCCAGTCAGAATAGCAAAATTTAACGGAACAGCAAGCAGCAAATGCTGGTGAGGTTGTGGAGAAACTGGAACCCTTATTCACTGTTGGTGGGAGTGTAAAATGGTGCAGCCCCTGTGGAAGGCGGTATGGCACTTTCTCAAAAAGTTACAAATAGAAGGGGAACTCTGGTGGCCTAGTGGCAAAGAGCTGCAACTACAATCCCAGAGTCGCATGGTTCAAATCCACCAGATGCTCTGCCGGGGAAGGAGGGACAATCTCCTCCTGTACCAGTCAGATCTGATTTGATGGTACACCCACACAAAAATTAAAAAAAAAAATTCTAAAAAAAAAAAGTTGCAAATAGAGATATCATTTGACCCAGCAATTCCACTACTGGGAATATACCCCCCCCCCAAGAGACCATAACTGACATCCAAGCAAATATATGCACACCCATGTTTATTAGAGCTTTGTTCACAATAGCAAGGAGTTGGAAACAACCTAAGTGCCCATCAACAAACGAATGGATAGAGAAGCTGTGGTATATTCACACAATGGAATACTATGCTGCATTGGAAAAACAAGGAACTCATGCAATATTATTCAAAATAGGTGACCCTGGAGGACATTATGCTGAATGAAGTATCTCAGTCACAAAAGGAGAAATACTGCATGGTGCTACTGTTGTAAAACAGGACTGACATCGGGGTTGGGGGGAGACTGAGAAAGATGGGTTCAATAATGTATACTGCATTGAAACAAATGAGGGAGAAAACTGTTTAAAAGGGATATGTGATTACGTATTTTTGTCATGACAGGAGTCCAGAGTGAACGCTGCATAGTGGAGTGGACCTGGGGGAGGGTTTGTAAAACACTGAAAGAAATTTTCTTTTACTTTTCCAAGAGGGTAGTGTTCTGGGAGGGAGGGGAGAAAAGCGTAACAATGAATGAATGGAAATCCAAAGTCTCTGTAAATTTTCTTTGAAATTAATAATAATTTTTTTAAAAAGAAAAGGCTTTGCATAGAGAAAATGCAGTTGTTAGTTGCGCTCAAGCTGGCCTCAATTCATGTATGCCATAACAAAAAGTTGCCCGGTACAAGGCATCTTAATGCTCCTTCAGGTGTTAGAGTTCACTGCTGTATGTTTTGTTGTTTGCTTGTTTGTTTGTTTGGGGGGCATTAGTGCATTCTATTCTAAGGGGCTTATTTCTAGTCCTGTATTGGACAATGTTCTGTTGAGATCGAGGCTTTTTTCATTGGGTAGTTTTTCCAAGCAGATAGCCAGGCCTATCTCAGTCCTGGAACCTTTCCACCATAGCATTTGAAATACCATTGACAAAGCTTCCAGCCTCATAGCAACAAATAAGCCCCTGACGAGGCTTAATTACCCTCTGACGGTCAGGTAGTGGTTAGAGAAACTGAAAGAATATTTCATTGAAGGCAAGTGTGACAGAAGCGCTTGCTTTGTTTGGTTTCCCGCTGCAGACCAGCGCTGTGAGTCTAGGATGAAAATGATAGGGTTTTTTTTTATCAAACTTCTGCTAATCATTTCAATAGATATTGGCACTGCAATTTGAAGTTATTCTTCAACAATAGAAGAAAATCACTTGGAACTTATTATGAAATAATAATTCGCTAAATATTCTTCTAACTGGATTTTTAATGATTTCTAGCCATTTCAGGCATTCATAAAAAGAAAATAAAAGTCATCTGATTACTTAATTGTGGCAATTTCCATTTCCAATTTTAATCTTTCTTTTGAGGCCTTTTCAAAGTGACTTACTTTGGGGAGGGTTTTTTTTGTGGAGGTTTTTTTGTTTTGTTTTGTTTTGTTTTTTTCAACAACTGGGTTAGGGATTTTTAAATGTCCAGAACCTTAGGGCGTCCATTATTCTTTTCTGGCAGGTTGTAATTAAATAATTGTAGATGAGTGAAAAACATGTTCCTATTCCTGATGAGAAATAACATATTGGAATACTTTATTTCCATTCTTATCATTTTATTTATTCATTAAATGGTAAATTTGAAGTCAATCTAGGTTATGTTTCAGGCAATTTCCAAGGCATTACTGTGGATATAAAGGTTTTAAATGCCGTAATTGTAATGGACATATTTTGAAAAAGTGTTCCCATTTAAAAATTAATGAAGTAGGCTGAAAGAGACTTCTTCCAGAAATTCTTACTAGAAAAAGAGTAAAGAAAAAAAAAACATTTACTCTTGAGATACCTGTAGATTACTTGGTTTCCTAACAGATAGGCAGACCCACTCAAGGATGACCTGGCTGATTCTTGTCCCCCTGGTATTCACAGCCGTGTGTAGGCCCATCTCGTTTAGTATGGGTGAGATCTGGGATGCTTCTAGCCAGTAGAGTAAGGCAAAGATGGATCTCTTTCATGATGATCTCTTATACTGTCACTTGTCTTGTCCTCACACTCTCTCTTCTGGTGGCTTTGGTGAAGCAGCTTGTGCTGTTGAAGAGGGCCACATGGCAAGGAACTGTCAGCTAAGAGCAGCGGCCTTTAGACCAATAGCCTACAAAAGAACAGAATTCTTCCACAAACAAAGGAAGTGAGCTTAGAAGTGGATCCTTTGCCAGGTGACCTCACGGTGATGGGCATCCACACATTCACAGAGCCACTGTCCTGGAGATGGCTACCCAGCCTGCCTTCCAGTCTCCGCCCTGTGCTGCAGAGAGCATCCTCCCCCAGGTTCCCTCAGAGGCTCATGGCAGGATCTCTTTATGCTGTAAAGCCCCGCTAGAATTGCTAGGACACAGTGTTTGTGAAACTGGAGTTGACATGGTGATGTCAGATCTCTTCCTGGAACTAATACACATGTCTGGACGCCCACGAGCAGTGGATGGTTGGTGCCTCGTCTTATGCAGTGACTCATTACCTGCTTGTCATGCCCCATTGCTCAGTCTAACCGGGATGACGGTGGTCTGTCTACTCCAGTCACCACGGCTCTCTGGCATCTCTTGGCAAAAAAAAAGATGGGTGAGACCAAATGGGCCAGTGTCAGCGGTGTGTTACCCCTCCCCTTCCTCATCACCGGAAGGGTTCCCCAAGCTGATTCCTCTCCTTCCCGACCCCACTCTCCACCTGGCAGTCATACTCTTCGGTGGCTAACAGAACATGGCCCAACGCGGCCAGACAGGTGGGCCAAGTCTCAAGCACTTAGTGCCGGAAAAGCAATTTGCAGTGACTTCTTCATGAAAACAGATCCCCTCTGCCTTATGCATGCGGGCAATAAATCACAAAAGCAGGTAATTAATTATAACCCAAAGTAGAAAAAGTCGGCTCCTCAACATTGTGGCAACTGACCTTTCTCCTGCCCCTGATAAGCAAAAAGGAACGAAGGAAGAAAAATGATTATAACACGTAATATGATTTGTCCCCTAAGGGTTGGAGGCATTTTAAAAGTTTGGCTGATTTGGAGGAAATTCAATAAACGATTGCATTCTGTTGTTCTGCTTTTAGCTACAAAGCGTTCCCGGTTGGGAACTGTCTTTTCCCCACACACTCCCCGGTGCCTGTCTGAGATATTTCTTGGCCTGGGGTCCGTACACTGTCCCTGTGTGTGCTTCATACGCCACGTGGCATGGGAGGCGATGTTTGCCAGGGGCTGTTTTGGTTTAAGCAGCCTACAAGGCTATTTCTCTCTTATGGTTCTGACCCCAAGAAGGTAATCATGTTCATCACAATGATGGAATTTAAAAAAAAAAAAAAAAGACAAAACAACAACTCCCTCCCATGTACTACTGAAAACCACAGAGGAATGTTTAAGCAGCAAAGAAAAGTAGGCTAGGACAGGGAAAACAGAAGGGGTGAATCCATTTTGAGAGCAGGAGCATGTGTGAGGAGACTGATGGTTCTAAAACCGTCCACCCTCAGCAGAGTTTCATCCTGGGGGCCCGCTGTTCGACGGCACAGATAATATTGTCCAGTGTGAAACTGTATAGAAAGCTTCCAGCCAGGCTGTTCGTTAGCACTTGGGAAACACTTCATTTTCCTTCTCTGTGATCTGAAAGCCCACTTCTCAGCTGTTTGATTTACTCTGCCCCAGGAACACAAAGAACAAATCACCAAGGCATCACACGTTTTGTTTTCAAAGCAAACTGCCAGTGGTAAAGCCCAGACGCTGTGTATTTCATAAATATGTTTGTCTTTTTTTTTCTCTTCCAGAAGCTGCAAAGAATCGATACTTCTCACTGTCATTCAGCCTTACCCAGTAAGTGTTCTTTGAGTAAAACTGTCACTGCACCATCTCGGGTTCTCGTCTCTTCCCTCCATCCTCATCACCTGCTCCGGTCAAACCACCACAGTGAAGAACACACAAAACTCACTGTGCAGAGCTGACAGCGAACAGCAGATAACATTATTCCTAAGTTAGAAATTTTTACTATCTGTACCCCATGTGTGGAAAGCCATTCATTGGAGAGAAAAGCGGGAGGGGGAAAAACCCAAAAAGAAGTACCTTTTCCTCAATGTCTTGAGGGAGATCCGGCTTTGAGTCCTGTGACGTAAAACTCAGGACTCTGTGGTGGGTTTCAGCTGAAGAGCCCAAGTCCAATGGGAATACCTGATAGTCGGGGATTGGCACTTAATCGCTTTTCTCATCCCCATCTAAAGAATCTGGTAGAGAACTGGATATTTCTTTATTATGAATTAATTAACCAGGAAGCCCTGGTGGTATAAACAGTTCACCATTTGACTACTGACCACAAAGTGGCAGTTTGAACCCTCCCAGCGTCTCTGAGGGAGAAAAGACTTGGTTTCTGTAAAAGATGACAGCCGAGGGAATCCTTTGGGACCGTTCTGCTCTGTCACTTGGGGTCACTGTGAGTCAGAGGTGACTTGATGGCAACCACCACTGGCAAATAATTCTGTACTTAATACAGGTAAGTGTTCCAGGACATGTGGCCATGACATTAGGATTTCAGCAGCCTTGTCAGTAAGGCAGAGAGGGATTAAAACCGTTCTGTCTTCAGTTCTCATGATTGGTTTTTTAAAAATGACTTTATCAAGGCATGTTTAATTCTCACACCTTCAGAGCCACCCATTGGAGTGTTCAATTTTATGATCTTTATAAAATTTACTGAGGTGAGCGGCTATCACCGTAATGCAGTTTTAAAACAAAGACGTCACCATTTGCAATTAATCTCTGTTCCCACCCTGGCTCCCAGGCAGCCACTGATGTACATCTATAGATTTGCCATTGCTTGTGAGCTTCATTCATTGTCAGTGGAACTAAACAACAGTATGGGAAATTCCTTCCACTTTTTCCTAAAACAGGAAATGTCTGTCCACTGCTTGGCTTTCTTTCTTTCTCTTTCTTTTCTTTTCTTTTCTTTTCTTTCCTTCCTTTTTTTTTTTTTTTGGTGGAGATGCCAGGGATCGAACCCGGGGGCTCATACAGGTAAAGTGTCAGGCTTTCTTATGGAATGGCAGAGATTCTTCTGAAGCCTCCATTTCCTCCTTCCTTAGAGCTGGAGCCTGTTTGCATCTATTAAAACCAAAACACCCAAACCAGTTGCCATACAGCCCACCCTGACTCACAGTGACCTCTTGTGTGTCAGCTTATGCTCCGTATGGTTTTCAATGGCTGATTTTTCTGATGGAGATCATCGGGCCTCCATGTGGGTACCAACCTTCAGACTTTGTTAGTAACCAAGCATGCTCACCATTTTTCTCTCCCAGCCAAAATAGAACATGGCTAACATAAAATACTGAAGGCTAGTCTCTGACCCAACTCATCTCTCAGGATATTCTTCCTCGACAGGTTCTTCACACACACACACACACACACACACACACACACACACACACACACACACACATATATATTGAGGATTCTGTTAAGACCATAAGCAGCCAAGCAGGCCATCTAGGACATCTCTGTCTATTAAAAGCTCGGTTTAATACTGCCCGTTGCCCGTTTCTTTTAATCCCAGCTCTTTGACACAAAGACATACACACATTGGCATTTACAAATTTAAGGAGACAACAAGGTCTCAGAGACTCAAGATTCGAGCTCCAGCTCAGACCTGCTCTAGACCCCTTTTCCTCATCTGTATAAGGGAAGGATCCAGAACACCACCCCCAAGGGCCTTTCTGCTCTACCATCTCATGGCACTTCAACTCCTTCAGTGAACTTCCATAGGAATTACAGTCAGGTTGGTTTTTAAATGTGGTTTTGGTGGAAGTCATATTTTTTTCCTTATTTTTTGGTGTGTTTAGGTGAGAGAGAGAGAGCGCACTTCCGTAGAAATTAGAGATTGTTGTTGTTGTTGATTGCCGTCGAGTCGAGCACGACTCATAGCCCCTCTGTGAACAAAAGGCCTGAAGCCTTTCTATAACTATTGACATTTATAAAAATTCATAGAGTTTCCAGAGGCATGTTGTTTAGGAAGTGGATACCACTCCTGCGACCAATTAGTTTTAAAATATGTTTGGGAGGGACTAATAAGTGTTTATTTTCTTGAGTATATGTGTGTGTGTGTTATGTGAGAGTTTACATAAACAAATTCCGTTTCCGGTCAATAGTTGATGCCTACCTTGTTTTGTGCAATCGGTCACAATCCCTGCAGTGTGTCAGCACTGCCCCCATTTCCTCCCTGGGCTCCTGTCCCTTCCTGCCTTCTCATCTTTGGTTTTGAGCAAGCGGTGTCCTTTGGTGTCACCCATGGTCGGTTGTTGTGAGGAGCACATTCTTCACAGGTGTTGGTGGTTGTATTGTTGTTGTTGTTGTAGTTAAGTGCTGTCGCAACGAATGCAACCCATAGCAACCCTATAAGCAGCAGACGTGAATGTACCCTGTCTGCTCTTGTGCCATCTTTGTCATCTGTGTCAGTGGCTCTCTGAGAGTCGTCCTCTCTTTTGCTAACCCTCTGCTATTTCAAGCATGATGTGTCTAAAAGAATAACAGCAAAACCACAATTCATTGTCATCACTTTGGAACCAAGTCATAGCTGACCCCCCCCAGTGGGTTTTCAAGGCTGTAAATCACATGGCTGTAAATCACAAGGCTGTAAATCACATGTTTCTCTTCCAAAATTCCTAGTGGATTTGAAAAACCCACCTTTTTGCTGACAGCGCAACTCCTTATCATCTAGGCCACCAAACAGGTGGGGGGGGTTCATTTGGGACACCACCACGTTACTTACATAGCATATGTAGATATCATTGAGATAGCTCTCAACAAGGTACATAGATATTTGTAGCTGCATACACACATGGAGAGAGAGAAGAAACAAAAGGGTACAGGTATAGACATTAACACTGAACTTCTGAACTTGAGGGCTAAGGACAGTAGTGTGGGAACATGCAAGTAGACAAGTAGGCAAAACACAATTCATAAAGATATCTTTCTACATCCTAGTCTAGTATATGGTATCAGGCTATTTTAGATAGCTTCAGTTAACTCAGTTGTCATTCACATTTACTTCAAATCTGTCTGCATACATTTATTTCTCTGCAGTGTTCAGATTCATTTTGGTGAAATGAATATAAATATGCTAAGCAAGTGAACAAGTATAAATTCCTAGTGGAACTTCCAGATTCCGTGGTCCTTCCTGAGTTCTCTGTGTCACCAAGACCCTATTGGAGATATGACAGTAGAATCTCCCCACCCCCATCCCTATGGTATTGACCCCATCCAATAATCTTAGGGGAAGAGAAAGAGTTTTACATTTAAGTTAAAAGTTGGTTTGTGATTTTGCTTGTTTTTCTTGCCATTTGAGTCTGTGTGGCTTGTTCTTCATCTGAACACTCATTAATCTCGGTGAATCCTGGAAGTTCATTTTAACCGATAATCTAGACTGTTACAAGCACTCACATGGCCACTGCTCTGGTGTCGTACTGAAAGTCATCATTTAGTCACAACAGTTCAGTGCAAGGGGTGTGTATTCTTGTCGCCAATAGCTGCCCCTTGGTCCTCAGAGTCATTCTGTCTCTGCTTAATCGTCGTGGATGAATTTTTATCTTTGACTCTCCTTTGACCAGCCTGCCTTCCGGGATTGCCTTCCTCCTTGACTCTACTTGCATCACCTACTCAGTCCAGACACATTCTGGAAACCACTCCAAAGTTTCTCAAGCGCAACAATGTCTTTCTTGTTCCTTTTCATTAACCTTTTATTGTCATTTTAGTGAAAATTTAGAGAGTACTTTGGTTTTCATTCAATGGTTCATACACATTATGTTTCATGACATGGCTCACACTGCCTTGATTAAGACCACTCTCTTTCCGCTTCTTCCCTTGTGTTTCCCATCTCCATGCATCCTTCTGCCCTATCTCTTCCAGTCTTGAGCAAATCCCACTCTTTTGATGTGTGTGTGTGTGTGGGGGTGTGTGTGTGTTAGGTGCCATTGAGTTGAATACGACTCATAGTGACCCTATGAACAACAGATCTGAACCTTGTCCTACCCTGCACCATCTTCACTTTCTGACACACTTGAGCCCATTGCAGCGTTCACTGTGTCAGTTCATCTGATTGAGGGTTTTTCTCTTTCACCATCCCTCCACTTTTCCAAGCATGTCCCTCTACAGGGAATAGGCTCTCCTAGAAACTTGCTCAGAGTATGACACAAAGCTCTATCATGTTTGCCTCCATGGAGCATGCTGGCTGCATTTTCTCCAAGACATATTTGTGCTTTTGGCTATCCATGGGATTTTCCGTGTTCTTGTCCAATGCCACACCTCAAAGCCATTAAATCTTCTTCTGTCCAGTTCTCAGATGCATAGCAAGTGACCAGAAAGACCATGGATTGAATCAGATGTACATTAGTCCCAAACTGACATCATGACTCCTCAATCATTTGCAGAGGTCCCTAACTGTAGACTTTCTCCTGATCCGCTGGCACCAAGGGTGTTGATTGTGGATCCAACTAAGATGAAGTTGTCGACAGTTTCGGTCTTTTCCCCGCCCATCATGATGTTCCCTATTGTTCCAGAGGTAGGAATTTTTGTTTTCTTGATATTGAGGTTAAAGCCATATTGAAGGTTGTATTCTTTGAGCTTCTGCAGCAAGTGCCTCAGGTCCTCCTCAGTTTCAGCAAGCAAGGTTGTGTCATCTGCATAACGCAGGTTATTGATGAGTCTTCCTCCAATCTTTATGCCTTATTCTTCAGAGAGTCTGGTTTCTCAAATAATTTGCCCAGCATACAGACTGACTAGGTATGGAGAGAGGATAAAAACCTGACTTACACCTTTCTTATTTTTAACCCACGTAA